AAAAACTTGCCAGGGAAACAGTATTCTTATATGGTTACCACCTAAGATGGGGAAAAAGTGGATTAATTATTACAATGTTATTTTTGTGTACATGCATTGTGCTACACATTAAATTCTTCAGTTACAATTATTAGTTTCTGACTTAGAAGCCTAATAGGAATTGACAGGTTCAAGTATTTGTCTTAAGTCTTAAAGTTATTTCAGAATCTTGTTCTGATCTTCAGGGCTGTCCAGCCTAGATCTACTGTGGTTGGTATCTTAACGGTATTTTGGATTAAGACATTCTTTTCTTGATGGAATTTTCTCAGCATGTTACATCTTTTTCTAAAACAGAGGCAATATATTAAATTTTCCCAAATGCTCGTCAGAAGACACAAATAAGTTTGTTTAAAAAGTAGCATTTCTAGCTGCTTTAAAACTGGTGAAAAATAGTTTGTCACAAAAGGACCTTATTGACTCAACCATAAAAAACCCCAGTCCAACCTTTTTTGGATGTTGGTTAAGCATACTTGGTGCAGTGTTCTTAGTTCAGCTGCTAATGTAGCTCAGAGTGGATGACTGAGTTACATTTATGACAAATCTCTTCACTGTACATCATTTGGAACCAGCTGTTCATTATTCCGTGGCATTCACTGCCTTATTATTGAAGATCATACTTCAAAAAACTATAGAATTAAATTTTATATAATTGAATGTTGGAGTAATTATTGCATGTTACTTGAAACAAAATGCTTTACAAACTTCTCTTAGATCCCCCTCAAGAAGTAAAATTTAAAAGCAAGTTTTTTTTTTTTCTGTAAATTATTCTCCTATCCACAACACAGCAAAGCCCATAAATTTAGATAAAATTTATGTTATGGAAGACTTTCTTTTTTGAAGTCACTACACAGTGCTTGAATCAGACACCAGAGGCTAATGCTGAGATATTTTGTTCTGATACTGAATATCAAAAAACTGAATATTTTGACCAGTCTGATTAAATAAATTAAAGTCCATTTGAGTGTTAATAGTATGAGGATAGTAGTATTTCAGTATCTTTTTCTTATCTTTCTAGAATAGTGCAGCTCTGCTTCAGTATTAAACAACCTGAGCCAGCTTAGCTTTTATGCCACTTTGGTTAAAGAATGGCAGATATATTTTGAGTTTGTGCTGCTAGGGAATGGTGACTGAAACATTCAGTGATAAATTTTGGGCGTACTCTTTTCTTACCAAGAGAATTTCTGAAAGCAGTGGAATTGTGTTTGGATCTGTGGTGTTTACCTCAATAAGCTTAGTTCTGGTAGCTGTAGGGAGTACAACAGCTGTTTTATCAGTGTTAATCAACAGCGGTTGATCTGTTGTGTGGTGTGTACATAAGAGAAGACTTGCTAGCAGGCAAATAGGTTCTTCATATCTGTCGGTATAATTAAAGCAGTTGCTTGTAAATGCTTGTATGGATGCATACTCCTGACTTTCATTCTGTTCAAATACTTTAAGTGTGGGGGGTTGTTTTTGTTTTCATTTTAATTTAAAAGTAGTCCTATGTTTCTGAAATGCAGAAGTGTTTTTCTAAAGTAAATTGATGATCAATGTTACCTTTTTGCCTTACTAGCTCCTCAGTCTGTGTAAAGGCAGCTCTTGGTTGATGTCAGGCTGGAAGGATATATCAAGTAAATTTCAAAAGAAGTCTCTTCAGTATTTTTGTTAATAACTTCAATTCATGAAATAAGAGTGTATGCTTATTAAATTTGTAGATAGTACGAATCTGAGTAGAGGTTGCAAGTGCTTTGGGGGACACAATGCAGAAACATCTCAACTGCTGGGGATGGCTTAGGTAATGGACCTGAATAGCAGGAAAAAAGACTTAGGTCAGACCTGGTAGAAGGAACCTTTCTAGCGATGGGACATGTTGCAGAATAATGTGGTAGTCTCAGTTGTTGGTCTAACGTAAGTTGGAAAGCAAGCAAGAAATAAACTGATGTTTGGCTACCAAGCTGATCACGAAGGGTTTAAGCATAGTAAATCCTGCCTGTGGCAGCAGAATGCTCTTGCTGACATCCCATTCTCACTTTTTGTGGTTTGTTTTCAATTTACCAAAAATATCTTCCTGAGAATGAAGAGTATCCTAGAGCTATCGAATATTTGCCAGATCATCAAAACAGAACTCATGCTTGTAATGAAAATGTTTTTATATTAAAATTCATTCTAGGGCAAACTTCTTGGCAACATCAGAAAGCTAGCCTCTGTAAGAGTATTTATGAAGCCTGGTAAAACATGGAATTGGCAACTTAAAGTGGGGTAGGCTATGTACTCCAAAATATAGTTTTAAAAAACAGATGTTAGTATTTGTCCTTTCTTGATCTGCTGTTTGTTTCCCAATTTAATTATGGCTAGGGTGTTTGTGCCTATTAGAAGTTAGTAAGGTTTAATAATGAAAATACTCAATTTTCCCATGTCTAATTGCCAGACCAATAATATGTACAAGCAGATGAGAGAGAGCGTTTTCTTGACTTTGGTGGTGTGGAGGTCAGTATCCTCAATAGTTGCTTTTCTTAGTAGTCTTTAACAGTAAACCTGTGAAATTGGTCAGGTAGTGTTCTAAAAATACATCTGTGCTTTTGTTACTGCTGTTCTTTTATCAAAACTAGCTGGAAGCATTAGGCGTAAAAGAGCTTTTCCTCTTATGGGCTTATTGAATTTTACAGATGTTCTGTTGCTGACTTTGCACTCTTGAGTATTGCATAGTTTTGGCCCAGGCCTCTGTCTTTACCACTTCACTATGCTGCTTTGTAGGAAAGGGGTTGACTCATCTGACAGTGTAGCACTATCAAAAGCCTTTTTAGAGCTTTTAGTTGAAGAACTGAGAACATGAGGAAGACTTGAATCTGCTTCTAGAATAATTTTTGCGGGAAGAAATACACACCAAGTATCAGTGAGCTGTGGGCAAAAGCTCTGTTAAAAACACCTTTCCAGTCCTCGGATGCTTGGTGACCACCACCAAATCTTGCCCGAGCCCTTGATTTATGTGCAAAAGGTAAAAGGGATGTTAGTGAGTTAAGAATAAACTCTTTTCATGGCAGTTGGATAAATAGTAGTGTTACAAGGCTTGACTAGTTTTCTAAAAACAGTAAGATAAATTGTTAAGAAATCACATTGTTAGTGCCTTTGTCCCATACCTAATAGCTGATTCAGCAATAACTTGGTAATACTTCTTGGATCCTTTGTTATGTTTTTATTCGGTATAAACCTTATCTCTCCCTTTGTTTTTCAGGCTGTAAGTGCCTTGGTCTGAAGATTTTGTTGTTGTTGTGCTTATCTTCCGCTATTGATATCTGTCTTGATCCTTTCTAAAGATTTCATGATTCTCCTGCTTGGAGATGAGAACTGTACCTGAAGGAAGGAGGAAAAAAAAAAATTTGTTGCTGCAATCTGCTCACATTTAATTTGCTGTTTCTTAATTTAGCATCTCTTGTATTGGTTCATCTGTAAACATATACCCTTTTCTGTTTCTATACCAGTGCTGAACGTGATTAATCAGTAAAAGTAAACTTGGTTCCTGTTAGAAAGAGAAGGCATTTTTGTGACGGTTCTGTGACTCTAGAACTTCCTTTATTTGTTTTTTACTAGTCTGACATAATTGGATTTTTTTAGAAAATTTCTCTGGAATTTTTGTTGAGGTTAATTTAGAACAGAGTGTTAGATGACTTCAACAGAGTAATTTATAACGAATTACTTGGGTGAGACATACCTTTAAACTTGTCTCTATTTAATGGTAGTAGATTTCGTGCATCTTACCTTACAGTTTAACTCTGGTATCAGAAGTACCTAAAAACCCAAGTATGAGCTCACGGCATAAAAAAGAACCGGCAGCTCAACTAAGTGCCGTTTAACACCTACAGATCTGTTAGACTTCCTTTTAGAAGCTGGAACATTCTTGTCTGTCACTGGAAATCTGCAATAGACTGGTTCAGGCCAGAATACAACAATATTTATCAGTTATCAAGTTCAGATTCCACAGCTCTTACTAACACATGTTACAGCAGCCTTAGATTAAAGTGAAATACATCTGTGCTCACTGACTAACAGATCTGCACTCTGTTGTGCAGAGATGTGGAATACACGTTTGTTTGGGTCTCCCTGTGAAATGCTTGTGGGTGTTTATTATGTTTTCACTACCTGAATTTCTAATAGTGTGTATATCATACTTAAAATATTTTTGAATCATTGACAATTTTGCAGTGTCTAGCTGCAGAGCCTGATTCAGATACCCTTATAATTCAGGCAGTGTTTCATCCATTTCTTCCCTTTCTGTGCTATAGTTCAGCTTCAGGTAATATAGTTCACATTGTCTTGCATTCTCTTGCTTATTGAGAGATGTTTTCCTACCTGTGGGGAGAGCATGGGGTAGAAAAAGTATTCTTGGGTTTTAATTTTAAGCCATTACTTTCTCTTGTCCATTTTCAAACTAGAGAATTTTACTGGATTTTGACAATGTTTCTGGACATGTAGACTGTTTCCATTGAATCTAGAGATAATACGGGGTTTGTGGTGGCCCAGAGCATCTAGTTTTTTCACGAGGAACCTTAATATAGCCTCTGAGACATAACTTTTAGGGACTAATTAAAAAAAATCAGCTTCTTCTAGGAAGCTAATGAAATAGCTCCTGAAATCCATTCCAGATAGTACCAGAAAGTGTTTCAACAAGCTAATTTTGCCACAGCTTTCTGGATCAGACCTTACACAAGATGCTTCATCCCATTTATAAGAGGAAATAAAGGAAGGAATGTTACAGTTGTATTTTCATGATACTTGCGATATATTTGATTAGGGTGACACTTTGGTAATAAAAGTACAAAGGTGATGCTATAAACGAGATGAGGATAGTTAGATTCTAAACCAGATCTGTGTGAGAAAATAATACCAGAAAACAGAAGGGAAATAATGATCAAAACACAACAAGTGTAATCCTCTTGTACCATAAGCATCTGAAAAGTAATCATTTCTTGTTTTTCCAATTACAGGGACTTGCCATGAGGTGCTGAAGCCTTGTTTCTTTGATTTGGAGAGACCGGACCTAAATGGCGCAGCATGACTTTGCTCCAGCCTGGCTTAATTTTCCAACTCCACCATCATCAACAAAGGTGTGTTATTTGTTGTTCTTTTGAACAGGCACTCTCATTATTAGAGAAGTCTAAATGTCATAATCTCAATTACAGTAAAAATGCAAATCTCTTTGTGAATAAGGTGATAACAGATGAAATCTAGCAAGTCTTGTTGTCGTGATTTAAGTAGTTGTACCGTGGTTGTCAAGCTCATACGTCCACTAGAGTTTTTTGCTTGAGCAGCTGAGTTCACGGGAAGAAGCATGTGCCTGTCCACATTATCAGAGCTGTTGTTGGATTAAGATTGCCTTCATCAGGAGTTTAAAATGAATTATTGTATTTTGTGCTAGAAGTATCAAGACAGAGGCATGTGCTTGATGTCCTTGCTTCTGATTTTGCTCTGTGTCCTGTAAATTTTACAGAAGTGTTATTCTATCATCCAAGTAATTAAAAAGAATGCTTTTGAAATAGACCTTCTGAAATGGCTCTTCAGTTGCTGGTGGGATGCTTGTTACTACTGGCGGAGTGTGGTACTTTCAAACAGTTGTGCATCTTCACTCAGGTTGTTTCTTCTAGACTACTGTTGCTCACTTTACACAATGGGACAGTTAGCTTGGAAACAGGAAATAGCAATCTCTGAATTGTTAGGATTTGTAAATATTCTAGGAAGTCATGAGCATGTCTGTGTCATAAATGTTTCTTTTTTTCTGGCCTATCCTTCTACTCTTTCTTAATTTGTGTGAATGCAGAAGCAGAGGCAGCACTGGATATTCAAACTCCTGTCATCCATTTCTGTATCTGTAGACCTGTCTTCTTCATTATAATCTTCTGAATGCAATATCCGTATCTGCAGCTGTGAGAGTGGCATTGCCTTACTTTAATGTATTTATGTAAATTTCTTGCTGTCTTTCATGTCTGTAGAAAATGTTTAGCCTTTATAAACTTACGGAAATAGGCTTGTGCTATTGTTAAATGCACAGTTAGCCATTAGTATTAGTTGTGTTCCTATTGCTTTGCCTATGTATGTCTACACACACAAACGTACATGCATGCATTTTTTTGGTCAGGTCATTAAATAGAGCAATGTGAATAAGTACATTCATCTTTCTTCTACCCTGACCTAGCTAGCTGCTTTGTTTATTATAGTCTATCAGCAACTCTCAGTTGCTGTTTTGGGAACATCAGGCCTATCTGCTCCAGGATGGTTCCTGCGATCTGTTTGTTTTCATTCTCCTTGATTTCTGATAAATTAAACTCTTTTGATCTGCTTTTTCCAATTTCATACATTTTCAGTTGGAAAAGTAATCAGAGCTTAGTTTAATATGGTGTCACAATTACAAAACAATCTTCACCACATATTTCAAGAATCTGCTGGAAGAGCTTTACTTGCATGCTTAAAGTGTCAATACAGCAGGATAAAAGCAAGTTCCAGAACTACTCCAGTACCATTCAAATATTTCTGAGGTTTGGTTGTATTTGTCACCTCATTCCTGAATTGTGGGAAACTTCGTTGCAAGCATATGTTGTGGATCCTGTTCTCTTCCATGATTCTTTGCCTCAAGGAGTTTAGATAGACTTTCTTTCATCTCTTCCAAAACCTCCATAGTTAGATGCTTTCTCCGTTACAGTCTTTGTGCTTCGTTGTTTGAAATACAGCTTATTTCCTTGCGTTACCTCCTCCCTCAACAATCAGCATTCTGTGATATACAGCACATTTGGATATTAAACACTTGCAAAGTCTTTTTGGTCCTACCTGATGTGTAGTGATTCTTAGTTTACAGAATAAGGCTTGTCCTGTCATTCCTCTACAAGACAGGTCTCAAATGTTGTGGCCCCTGTCCCCTCCATTTCCTAGAATAGATTTTTATTTCTGTTTCCCATATATCAACAAAGCAGCTGAAGAGAAGAGCAGATAAGAGGGATGGAGATGAAGAGGAAGGATGGGGTGAGGAAGGCAAGGTGTCTCACGTTTCATGCAGAATGGAGCTGGGTTGAGGCTATGGTATCAACAACATTTAGACTTGAGAAGGAGAAACTGAACTCTGCCGGGTCAGTTTTTATTTCCCTGAAGAGGCACTTCTAGGAATTGCATCTTTCGGAGCTTGGTTTCCCCCCTTGATCCTGGGTATCTGAGGCTTTTCCTTACATAGCAAAAGGCTAGCATTAGAAAAACCTGATGCCAGGAAGCTGGGATTGTGAATGAGCTTTCTTGATGTGACTGATACAAATTACAGCTTCACTGAAATCCATCTCACCTATTGCTGATGATTTCCTCTTAAGGATAAGCTTTTATATCATCTCCCTGTCACTTGTATAGCAAAGTCCACCTAAATAGCTGGGTATCCATTGCTCAGTAGCTTTTGTTCAGGTCTGGAACTACTATATTTGTGTCAGTGCAGTATTGCAATTGAGCAGATGGAAATGGGAAGGTATTGTGAATAGTGACACCATCTTGGGATATGGCCGAAACTTTTCAGAAAGGATTGCTGTAAAACGTGTGTGGGGAGATTGCAGACAGACTGGTAAACTCAGTTTTTGCAAGCTTACTTTTACTTCATGTTAAGCAATAAGACATCTTCTTATACTTCAAAAATGTGCTTTGCTTTCTTTCTTGGCTGGCTGAGCCTGGTCAGATAATTTCTCAACTTCCAGAAATTGCCAATAGTTTCCTGTTGATCACAAAGTTTACTGTCATCTCTGCCGCAAGAGACTTGATAGACTGATACCTCCATCATGTGGGGAAAATGCAAACTGCATGATCTTTGCACACAATTTAGACTTTAGATGCATTATATCGTGTGCAACTCAAACACATTATATATAAAATGCTGTCAGTTATACTTTGTGAAAATGTTGTGGTTCTTCAAAGTTCATACAAAAAAATGAAAGTTAAACTCCAAAGGCAATATTAGAAGGTTGTTGTATGTAAATGAACACATGAAACTCTCTTCTAAAATTTCATCTATGATCAACAGATCTGGAGCTTTCTGAAATTTTTGGCAGCTTACTCAAAATTTGTTTATAAAGATTTATTTTTTACTTAAATTTTGAGATTCTTTATGATAATTTTTGAACTACATAGACCTTTTGGTAGTTTCTTGTGGTTTTCTGTTTTTTTTCTCTCGCTCCAAGTTTGTCAAGGAAGTAATTCACTTCCCAGGTCTCAAACTGAGAGGGCAATCCCTTTTCATGTGACTTCTGTACAGTTTGGAAATACATGCTTTGTATTTTAAACATATCTGTTGCTTACTTGAGTTTGAATTTTAAGCAGTGAATTTTGAACAGCACCTTGAGCTCTTCTGGGGCATTGTCAGTAGAACTTGGGTACCATTTTGTGTGTGTGATTTTCTCTTGTGGGGGCTGGGGAGGTGAGAAGAAGGAAATAATTTTCTTCAACATGTTTTCCAAAGTAGTTAAACCTATTAGTGTGATTTTCTTTTTTTTTCCTACTCACTTTGATCAGTGGAGTACTTCAAATACTATTATAGCTTGATTAGACATTAGTGGATAATAACTGTTGAAATAAACTTGGGTCTTTCATTTTCAGACATACACCATTACTGCTGTACTTTTTTTTCCTGAATGTTACTTAGTCTGGAGAGGGAGTGAGCTTTGGGCAGGGAAGTTGGGATACTTTGGGTGCAGTAAAGTTGACACTCCCTGGAATCATTAAGCTTAGTTTCCTGACTCAGTACATTTCCACACAGCTGTGCGTTTATGCATTTGTAGCTCTTACGGCCCTGGGACATGTTGGATCTCTTGTACATGTGCCATACAATGGACACAGATGCGCACAGTAGGTCTGCTGGGAGGGAAGGGGGCTTTGCCTCGTCTGCATCAAAGGCTGGCTGTGTGGCGGGGAGGTGCTGGGTAACACAGCCCTCTGCTGTCGCTCGCTGGGAGATGTGTGCTGTGAACAACAGTAAGGCTAAGCACTACTTCCGCAGAATGAAAATTTATTCTTGAATTTTTAAGATGTAACAGCGAAAGAAATGTTATAGTGTTAAAATAGTAAAGCCAGATAAAAGTAATAGGGGAAGACACGTGCTATAGGACATGATCTTTTTTGGTTTAATCCCCTTAGGTATGAGTTCTAGTCAGGATGGATTTTGATTTGAGTGCTATTCTCAATATAAGGTTTTAGTTTATAAAGTACTTCCTACTGATACACTAAAGATTTATTTCTTTAAAATTTCTACAATACCTGCTTATAAACTGATAATTTGAAGTGTATTTGTGCATCTGTACACTTTTGACTCTAGGTTTTGTTTGTATTTCATAACTAGTTGCATTTGCCTTATTAAGTTATAATGACAAGACTAATAAATTGAGCCTTTTTTGGGTACAGCTGCCTCTAGTGGAAGCAACTCCTTGCTTTCTATGGAACGCACATATGTAGTCTCTGACCACCAAAATTAAGATCCCAGACTTCTTTTCTGCCTTCCAAACTGTGATCTCCTGTCCTTTCTTACCTTTTTTTTATTTTTCCTCTGCTGCAACACGTCACTTGCGCTCTGTTCTACTGCCAAAACAAAACAGACACTTGGGTTTTTTACCTTGTGTCACAAGCATGGTCCTCAGTGCTGTTCCAGTGTCCTGGAGCAGAAGATACAGCTTCCACTTTGCTAGCATGGGAGATAGTGACATAGCTCTGAACGTACGCATACTTGAAGACTGCTGCATTGTCTGTCGTTCAAAGTCCTTTTAAAAATGAATTGTATATACCATGAGTAAAGTGCATGTTACAGTTCTGATAATTCAGTTTTGTTATTAATCAGATATCTCAGGTCTACCACTTGTGCTCCTTTACAGTCATCACTGAACTTTGAGAAACATTCTGAAAATTTTTCGTGGACAGAGAATCGTTATGAAGCAAATCGCAGAAGACACAACTCTTCAGATGGGTTTGATCCTAACATTGGACGGCCTAATGGAGGTATAATTTAGCTTTCATGGAACATTTTGAATACGTTTACATCATGCTTTGTAGCACTCTAGCTAGAAAAAAAGTCTGATGATAATAGCTCTCCTATGCTAAATTCTTATTCTCTAGTAAAATAGAGGTAATGGAAAGACAGGTCTTCTGGGAGAGGATGTGATGACTAAGGGTCGGTTAAAGTGGTGTGATTCCAGGTGTATTTCTCCCTTAAGAGGAATAAGACAGTTGAGTTAATATTCTAGCCAACAACATATAAATGGGCAGCCAGTAAAGGAGGTTGACTTGTCTTAAAGTTGGACTACTATCCTCTTTCTTTGGCACTGTTTTGTAACATTCTTTCCTGCTGCTTATGTGAATGAAAACTTAAGTTTACTAAGCTATCACATCCCAGAATATAGAGCTGCTGACTTAACTTCTCTAACAATTTTGCAAAAATAGAATATTCTTTTAAAATTGTTTGTAATTACATTTTGTTAAAATTTAATAATCCTAGGTCATTTTGGGAGAAAAGAGAAGAATGGTTGGCGTTCACAAGGCAGAAATGGTACAGAAAATATAAACCATCGTGGGGGATACCATGGCGGAAGTTCCCGTGCTCGTACCAGCACTTTCCACTGTGGAAAAGGTCAAGGACTGCACGAAAACAATGTACCTGATAATGAAACTGGGAAAAAGGAAGACAAAGAAGTACCCAAACAGTTTGAGGCTGAGGATTTTGTAAGTTAATTGTAATTATAATAAACAAGGTTTCATTGTTTCTGCAAGTGCCATTTTGTCCATTACAAGCTACTTCATGAGATTTCACCAATTTCAGATCATCATATAAGGGATCACCCTTCCCATAGGTAAGAGGGGTTAGTCATTTGTCCTTTTATATCCAGTTTTTATCATTATATGTTTATTATTGTCACTTGAGTGTTTAAGTGAAACTACAATTGGGTTCCAGTTTACCGTGGTATGTGTATGTATTACATTCTACACGGTTACCTTACTGGAAATCTGAAGTACTAACAAAGTGATCTTTCTGCCAACGGCCCTTGGAGATTCCATGCTTCAACCTAGAATTGTAGGATGTAACAGGAAGGGCGAGCTTCCTCTTTGAAGAACGATGCATCGTGGTTTTTTGCTTTCTCTGGAGAGTTCATGTAATGGTATTGACTGATGCCTGAGATGTTTTGTTGGAGAAGAGAAACAAGTGAGCATTGACCTAGTTTGGGTCGCAGGGGGAAGCGTCTAGTCTGTCTCCATTCAAAAATCTTTGACAGCAGAGGTCATACTGCCAATATTATTGTGATTCTTTATTTCATTGGTCCCAGAATTAAGGCCTCATTTTTTTAATGATGATAAAACTTTCTTTCAGCCATCTTTGAACCCTGAATATGAGAGGGAACCAAACCAGAATAAATCTTTAGCTGCGGGTGTGTGGGGTGAGTATTTTTGATTTTAAATGTAAAAATGTAGCAGAGATCTGAAGTTGTTTTATTTGAAACATAGGATTTTTTTTTTAGAATTATAAAGGTATAGATTTAAATTATAAAGGTAGAGATTGAAATTGAGGAAACTTCAATATTATTACAATGTAAATATCTTTTTTTCTTAGAGAGGTAACACTTCTATTTGAATATCAGTCTGTTGGTCTGTAGATGCAGCCGCAACTAGGATTCTTTCCCAGAACAAGTATACATCGTAAAGATGTCCATAATTTATCTTCACCTTTATTTTTGAGAGGAAATGCAATGAAGGTGGGTCACCTAAACTAGTGATGTGATTGCTAGCTGAAGACTCCATAAAAGAATGCTTCTGACTGATTAGAGTTGTTGGAAGGGTTTGGAGAGAAACCTAGGAGGGCTGGGAAGAGCAGGTTAGCTTGCCAGAGGTTTAAGGTCTCTTCCTGGAAGCAAATGTCTTAAGCTGTTGGTTGTGTTTATGAATTACTTGCAACAAATCCAATCCTGAGAGTGGGCCTTGAACTGTAGTCTGGGATTGTTTTCTCATCTCTACCTGATTAAATCTGGCTACCACTTTACAATTCTGTGGGCTTTATGTAGTCAATTGTTCACCCTTAAGAAGGTGGCAGCTTTAGACTGCACAGGTTTTAAAGTAATAAACTTACTCAAAATAAGAACCTTTCTCTTTATGAAGAAATAACTTTAATTAAACATAAAAGCTACTACTTAAACTGTTGCTAATACTGAGATCTGAAACTTGTTGCTCCTTTTAAATGGTACTTTAATTTGCTGATTCTTTTTCTCATACTTCCCCAGTATGTTTTGCACTCTTACGTAACACTAGATATACGCCAACCCCTCAATATAAATATCTAATTACTAAGAACTGTTGCAGGAGCCTAAACAATTAGACTGCTTTTCGTTTTTGTGTGTTTAGCAGCTTTCATGTGAAATAGAGTTATCTTTCAATAAAAGAGCAACAATAAGTAAATTCTTTCCTAACTGTCCTGATTTTGGCTGGGATAGAGTTAATTTTCTTCCTAGTAGCTGGTACAGTGCTGTGTTTTGGATTTAGCATGAGAATAATGTGATAACACACCGATGTTTTAGTTGTTGCTAAGCAGTGTTTATACTGGGTCAAGGACTTTTCAGCTTCCCATACTCTGCCAGTGAGGAGGTGCACAAGAAGGCGGGAGGGAGTATAGCCAGGACAGCTGACCCAACTGGCCGAAGGGATATTCCATAATATGATGTCATGCTCAGTATATAAGCTGGGAGGAGTTGGCTGGGGGGTAATTGCTTGTCCGGGACTGACTGGGCATCTGTTGGTGAGTGGTTGCATTGCTTAGTGTCATCTGTCGCTCCCCCCGTCTCCCCCCCACCCCGTCTCCCCCTCCCAGTTTTCGTGCTTGCTCTTGCTCCTGTTCTCACTCTCAGTCTCTCATTTTTTTATTTTTTTCCCCAAGTATTAAACTGTTCTTATCTCAACCCACGAGTTTTCTCACTGTTGCTCTTCTGATTCTCTCACCCATCCCACCACGGGGGGCAGTGAGCGAGCAGCTGTGTGGTGCTTCGTTGCCAACTGGGGTTAAACCATGACACTAACCAAGCTGGGAAAAATTACATAGCAATTTGAGTGTTTTACAGACTTTGCAGCACTCTGGCTGTGGTTGCTGCATGATGTGGCTCAGTTTGATCTGAAGGAGGGCAAGGTTTCCAGGCTTTTTGGATATCACTCTTCACAAGCAAAGAAGGAACAGTTCTGTTAGCTACATAAAATAATAGAATGGTTTGTTTTGGAAGGGACCTTTAAAGATCATCTAGTCCAACCTGTAAGCTACAGTGCAGTCACATGTTACAGCTTACAGCTTGGTATCTTACTTTATTACAGCTCTGCTATTGCGAACCTTGTTTTGTACTTGAAAAACTGAAATTAAGGCTATTATTATTCCCTTTTAAAGGAAACAATATTCAGGACAGGAGGAATGTTGCCATCTCCTTCTAATGCCTGTTAAAAATTTATTCTATTATACAAAAGGTAAAATGGAATCTATGTGATGGGAGCATGTGACTATTATAAAGTCTTTTTGTAAAGTTTAATGAGAGCTAAGCATGCAGTTATCAAATAGTTTGTAACATTAACCTGCTAAACAAAACTAAAGTCACTTACGCTTTTAAGATAGGTTTTTTTAAATGTAGGATATGGTCACTTTGCCCATGAAGTAGAAGTGCTTGCAGGGAGAAGACAGAATCTTGGAAAAGGCTATTAACGTAGCATTGGAATGCATATGCAAAAAAATAATTAAAGTGTTTTTTTCACTTCTTGAAAATTTTAGAACTGTTTTTAGTAGGTGTTCTTTAAAACTGTTAAATGTCAGTTACTTAGTATGACAGCTGACTATATGTCTCTTAATTAGTGCTTTCTTGAACATGGAAATGTTGTAAGCTTCAGATGTTCTGTTATGCCCATCTAAGGCATGGAGATAGAGAAAGTGGTCATTGCCATGGTATAGAGTAGTGCACATCTCTTGTCCCATGTTCATAGAGCCTTGGTGTGGAGCATCTGGCTCTAGACTGAGCTGTTAATAAATATATAAGTAATTATTCTTTTAGTAACCTTAAAGGGAAATATGATGTCCTGGTTAATTTTCTTCCTAGTAGCTGGTACAGTGCTGTGTTTTGGATTTAGGATGAGAATAATGTTGATAACACACTGATGTTTTAGTTGTTGCTAAGTAGTGCTTACACTAGTCAGGGAGTTTTCAGCTTCTCATGGCTTGCCAGCAAGGGAGGGGGCACAGCCAGGACAGCTGACCCAAACTGGCCACAGGGCTATGCCATACCATATGGCATCATGCTCAGTATATAAGCTGGGGTGAGTTGGCCGGGGGGCAGCGATCGCTGCTCGGGGACTGGCTGGGCATTGGATGGTGGGTGATGAGCAATTGCATTGTGCATCTCTTGCTTTGTATATTCTTTTACCATTATTATTATTATTATTATTATTTTCCCTTCCTTTTCTGTCCTATTAAACTGTCTTTATCTCAACCCATGAATTTTACGTTTTCTTCCTGATTGTCTCCCCCATTGCACTGTGGGGCTGGGGAGTGAGTGAATGAATGGCTGTGTGGTGTTTAGCTGCCTGCTGGGTTAAACCACAACGTATGAAAACCATAATGTCTTTTGACGATTAGGTAACTATCAACAACTAATAGTATTTGGATTTTAGATTTGCAAACAAGAACTGTGTAGCTGGCTTCTCTGAAGAATACCTTTACTTTCCAAAAGTAAAGTTCCTGCATTGCCAAGTGAAATATTTTACAAATGGTGGTTGTAGAAAATAGAACAGAACCTGTGTTTATCCAGGTTTGTAGAGTGTCTTGTTTGTGGAACTAATACTGGACTAGGTTCCTGATTTATGCCCGTTTGCTCTGGACCATATGGCTATCTAGTACCTTATGAACTAGAAACTTAAGATTGTCTACACATGTGCACACACACATATATATATACACACACACACTTCTTTTTTTTCCAGAGTACCCTTTGAATCCTAAATCTAGATCTCCAAGAATGCTGGTCATTAAAAAGGGCAGTACAAAAGAACTGCAGATATCTGGATTCCCAGTAGTAGGAAGTCTTCATTCACAGCCAGTAAGGAATGGAACTGGCACAAGTGTTTATAAAGGATTAGTCCCTAAACCTGTCACTCCACCTGCAAAGGTGAGTCTTGGATACCAGTGACATGAACAATGTGCTGAAAAAAAAAAATCATGCTGTAATTCTGAATGTGCATATTTCACCCCTGAGAGTACTGTTCTTAGAGTGTTATGCTTTCAAGTCTTGCTAAGTGCAGCACACCACAAAAGTGAATGGAAACAACTTTTTCTCATTTTTCTTTTTAAACTATACTGTAAGTGGATCTCTCTGTTCCTCATTTACCTTTTTTGAGAAGTGGAAGAGCTGTCCAAGTGAGAGTGAAAATGTTTTTAACTGATGGAATAGCAATGCCTTTTGTATATGATTTTAACAGAAAAAGATACCTAGTGGAGAGATACAGTTGGTATAAAAATACCTTCAGAATTTATCCCAATTATTGATAGAAATGATGTTGCAACCTGTTAGTGTCATTCTGGTTCCTTTCCAAATGCAACTTTCCACGTTCGCCTCTTGATTTTTCAGAATTTTTTATGTGCTTATGAGAGCATATGATGGAGTAGTTCTTAACTCTCCAACATTCTACATTAAAAACAATGTTTTCAGCTGTTGAAGAGTCATATTTTGATTCTTAATACCTCAAATATGAGGGTCTTAATTGTTTTGAAATTTTAGTCTTTATATAAAAAGTGTAAACAGTATTTATGAGCAGATGAATTGCTTATAAACAGTCTCTTTTCCACAAGAAAACAGGTGTTTGCACTAAATTATGGTTGTAGTTATGATTTGCTTTTGCTTAATCGTTTTTCTGAAGATTCCTGAAAATAATCCTATTGTAGTTAATGACTTTTTAAGTTTCTGTTTAAATTTTTGTTTAGCCTACACAGTGGAAAAGCCAAGCAAAAGAAAATAAACTTGGGAATCCGTTTCCTCATGAATCTGCATATGGCGTTGGCAATTTTAGTCCTTTCAAATCAACTGCCAAGGCATTTACTGTATCACAAAATTCAGTGAAAGAGGTAAAGCAATGTCTGTAGTTTTTATCAAATCTATAAAATGTTTAATTTGGTTAGATAAGGGGATCAGTAAGTTTTATGCCGAATTGTATTAAATAAGTTTTTTTTTGAAGTTAATGTGTGAGAAGTATGGAAGGCACATCAGTGGCCTGCACAACTTGCTTTGTGGGTTTGATTTGGCGTAAAAATGGCACATTAGGAAGTATAACCTGATAGGTTTAAACTTCAGAACTGCTAATGGTGTGATACACTTCAGAAGGTCCACTGCTTGTTAGCAGTGCTCCATAAACTTGCATCTCCGGGTTTACATGTAAGAACTACATATACATATACATACTGAAATACAAATGTCTTCCCTCTGCTTTTGAGTGTTAAATATACGTGAGATCTGAAACTACAGGTGCCAGGGAGTCTTTTTGTCTTTCATTCAAAGTTTTCTATAATGAATAAACTTCTAATATTCTTTTTTTTTCTGACTCCGAACATTAGTGTAATCGGTCAAATTCTTCATCCCCTGTTGACAAAGTTGGTCAGCCTCGTTTAACAAAATTGACAAGAATGCGGACTGATAAGAAGAGTGAATTTTTGAAAGCATTGAAACGAGATAGAGTGGAAGAGGAGCATGAAGACGAGAATCATGCTGGGCAAGAGAAGGTAGTTTTGTTCATACCTATTGTAGATCCAGCAGTAGTAGTTTTCAGACGGACCATAAACTTTTTATTTTGCTGTAAACAGCTGTTAAGTCATGGTCTTGGATCTCTAAATCAAGGAAAGGAATTACATTTTGATGAATTTAAAAAAGTTGTTCCACGTACTCTTCTTCCAGTGCTTCTTAGTAGTTTCTCTTTTTCTTTCTGCAGTATCTGTTCATACATGTTAATAACTCAGGCATGTCTGTGTCTTTAGCAACAATAAAAGAATAAATTAAGCTTAGTACACTAACTTAATCGTAGAATTGTTTAGGTTGGAAAAGACCTTTAAGATCATTGAGTCGAACCGTTAACCTAACACTGCCAAGTCCACCACTAAACCATGTCCCTAAGCACCACATCTACACGTCTTCTAAATACCTCCACGGATGGTGACTCAACCACTTCCCTGGGCAGCCTGGTCCAATGCTTGACAACCCTTTTGGTGAACAAATTTTTCCTAATACCCAATCTAAACTTTCCCTGGTGCAACTTGAGGCCGTTTCCTCTTGTCCTATCGCTTCTTACTTGGGAGAAGAGACCAACACCCCCCTCGCTGCAACCTCCTTTCAGGTAGTTGTAGAGCACGATAAGGTCTGCCCTCAGCCTCCTTTTCTCCAGGCTAAACAGCCCCAGTTCCCTCAGCTGCTCCTCATAAGACTTGTTCTCCAGACCCTTCACCAGCTTCATTGCCCTTCTCTGGACACGATCCAGCATCTCGATGTCCTTCTTGTAGTGAGGGGCCCAAAACTGAACACAGTATTTGAGGTGTGGCCTCACCAGTGCCGAGTACAGGGGCACGATCACTTCCCTGCTCCTGCTGGCCACACTA